ACACACACACACACACACACACACACACACACACACACACAATGACAATGGGAGAGAGGGGTCATTAGTTGCATACATATTGGTCACCATATATCTCAATTACCATCGTTACACAGTGGCTGCATTTCAGACAAAGCCTTTCTATGAAGACAGAATGTAATCTGTTTAACTTTACTGTTGACATTGGATTGTATCAACCCAATATAGTTAGGTTTTTATGGTAAACATGCGAACATGAAACCACATAAATATTTACATATTACATATAGGAGGAATATGTCAACCAAAAGGATTTATAGCTGAAGTAAAGGTACAGTAAAAAAGAGGTAAAAGTTTAAAGTTGTGTGAATTCCAGATTCGTACTGATGTTTTCCTGTTTTTAGTTTATATGTTTTTCAGTCCAACTTTTCACACACTTACTTGCATTTATATACGTACTTACATACTTTTGAAATGATTTGAACTTTATTTACCAAATATTTTCCAGAAATACATTTTAAATCTTTTTAGATAATTGAAAAACTTTGTCCTTTGTAATCTACTTCAGCAAACTTAACTTTTAATTTTTAGCAATTGTCTTAATCATTTTAGGTTTTAGCTACAATTTTGGTAAGTTTAGCTTCAAGCTGAAGTTCAGCTTAGCTTTTAAGCATTTAGCAAATGTTTTGCTAATTTAAGCTTTTAGATAAAATGAGACTTTTAGCTACAGTTGYGCTAATTTGAGCTTTTACCAACAGTTTTGCTCAATGAAGCTTTTAGCTACAGTTAGTTTGAGATTTTATTTTATTAATTTGAACATAATTTTTTTTATTTTAGCTGCTACATTGCTGTATTACATTTATTTTGTGTTTTTAGCATGTATATGTTTTTTCAAAATTGATTTTAGCATTTATCTACAGTTTTTCACATTACTGCTTCAAGCAATGATTTTGCTACATTTTGCTTTTTAGCAACTGTTCCTCTGATGTAAGCTTTTAGTCACATTTTCTATAAAAACGCTATTTTAAAAACTAATTTTAGCTTATATATATGGTTTTATTCATTTTAACTTTTAGGTATGATTTTTTTTGTAGGTAAATTAAACTTTTAGCTGCTGTTTTGTTACAGTTTTGTGAGTCAGCTCTCACACTGTGGTTTTGCAAAAAAAAAAAATCAAAACTTTTCTATTTATTTCCTCTCTGTAGACGCAGATCCATAGCGCTTATCTTCAGTGTGAAATTATTTATGTGACAGGCTTCATGAGGATAAAAATACAACTTTATGTCAACAATAATAAAGAAACGAACTTGAAAGAATCCAGTTATTGCTTCCTGAGGAGGTAAAATGATTTGGACTAATTGCTTCATTGAACACAGTTCATCATTAATCAGAACCTAATTAATCAATTTCCTTCAAGTTTTTTTTTAAATCAGAACCATCTCTGTTCATTTATTTATCAGGCTGGAATAAGGTGACAGTTTTATTGATGTTTGATTTGACTTAACAAAGAAGCTGAATATAATTAGTTGGAACTGTTTAGTCAGTGTTTGCACCGACTGGAGCTGTGCTTCTGTTTAAATTTAATATCGTTTTGACGGATGGGGATTTATTTTTGGCACCATTTATGCACCAACAGTCACAAAAGATGATATAAAACAAATTAGTTGGGTGACAGAGACGGGTTTTTACAGGTTTGCAAGCCTCACTTGTGTTTTGAAACTTAGTCTGACAAACTTATTAAGAGTCAGGTAAACAAATTAAATCATTTGAAACATTCCTCTTGATATAAACTGTTAAATTTAGAAACTTCCAGGTTTCATTTTCTGTCTAATTAAAATTGTCCTGTCACATTATAGCTTTCTATGAATATAGAAAAAAACTGGCAGTAACTGATTCAGGCTCTTGATCATTTTTGAAGATGTTCAAAGTTGTAAGCCTTGTTCAAAGCGTCTGTAATAAATGCCCAACTTTCATTCCAGTTTTAGTTTTTGTAAGAAACCCAACATGATAATTTATAGCCTCTCAGCTGCTACATGGGTCTTGAGTTTATTAAAGCAAAAAAATAATAAGTAGTCCTCAGAAAGTTGGGGCAACCTTTACTAACATTACCTTTTAGCTTGTGTTCAGCTCATATTAGTCTTTGTTCTGTTCATTTTGACCATTTTGTTCTGCTTGTTTTAGTTGTTTTTCAGCATTTACACTGTATTTTTGAAGAAAATACAATTTCTCCATTTTGTCTGCTATGAAGTTCAACTTTAAAGCATTTCATACTTAAGGAACAAAACAAAAACTTTGATTAAAGCTGGATCTTTCTGAACTTGTTTGCATCATTTCTTTTGAAAGCTGTAAATAAGAATCTACAGACGTCAGACATCAGAGATGTGATGCAGGAAGTMAGCGGACGCTTTCTCTTCCTTGGTTTTATTGCAGCGTGAAAGACATTTCTGTGAGTATTCATCTGGTAACTCAGGATGGAAACCAAGGTTATCTCTTTTCTTCTACAGAAAAGAGCCTGCCTTATAGAAGCCGAGTAAACAGAAGCAGGGTTCTGTTGAAACTAATTAGGTCCAGACTGGAAAAAATGGCATACAATTCATCCTTTGAATTTGTTGTCAAGGGTTACATTTGCATTTATTCTTGTAAACTCTTAATAAACTCCAGGACTCCACTCCGGTGAGCGGTTTGCTACAGTTTGAAGGATGAGGATCTGAAGCCGGGGCTGCCTGAAGTGAGAAGTGACTGAAGTGGAGGAGTTTAGGTATCTCAGGGTTTTGTTCACAAGTGAGGGAAAAATAAAATGCCAGTTCAACAGATCGGTGCAGATTCTGTCACATTTGTGGACTCTTTTCTAATCTGTTGTGGTGTGGAAGAAAATGAGATACAGTAAAAGGAGGAACTCTCTGTTTTATTAATGAGTTTTCTCAGCAGGGTAGTTGGACTATCTCTTAGAGATAGGGTGAGAAGTTCAGTAATCTGGGAGAGATTCAGAGTAGAGCTGCTGCTCCTCTACATTAGAATCCTTCCAGAAGAGGTGATGTGGAAAGAGAAGACAGAGACCTTTTTGATCAATTTATGGATGGACGGATGGATGCCTTGGTGGGTGGATGGATGGATGGATGGATGTCTTGGTGGATGGATGGATGGATGGATGGATGGTTGTCTTGGTGGATGGATGGATGGATGGATGGATGTCTTGGTAGATGGATGGATGGTTGTCTTGGATGGATGGATAGATGGATGGATGGATGGATGGATGGATGGATGGATGGACGGACAGATGTGTGGATGGATGGATGGATGTATGGATGGTTGTCTTGGTGGATGGATGGATGGATGGATGGATAGATGGATGGGTGGATGGATGGATGGACAGATGTGTGGATGGATGGATGTCTTGGTGGATGGATGGATGGATGCCTTGGTGGATGGATGGATGTCTTGGTGGATGGATGGATGGTTGTCTTGGTGGATGGATGGATGGATGGATGGATGGATGGATGGATGGATGGATGGATGGATGGATGGATGTCTTGGTAGATGGATGGATGGATGGTTGTCTTGGATGGATGGATGGATGGGTGGATGGATGGATGGTTGTCTTGGTGGATGGATGGATGGATAGATGGGTGGATGGATGGATGGATGGATGGATGGATGGATGGATGGATGAATGGATGGATGGATGGATGGTTGTCTTGGTAGATGGATGGATGGATGGATGATTGTCTTGGTGGATGGATGGATGGATGGATGGGTGGATGGATGGATGGTTGTCTCAGTGGATGGATGGATGGTTGTCTTGGATGGATAGATGGATGGATGGATGGATGGATGGATGGATGGACAGATGTGTGGATGGATGGATGGATGGATGGATGGTTTT